AAGAACCCCAAATTGATACACATGTACCGCATTTACTTAAAATGCTGTCACAACAACCCTCGAACTGGTTTTTTCGTGACACTAAGGAAATGGCTCTTCCTTAGCGTCAAATCTGCACCCATCTTTCTGTGGCGCATAAGTACGCATCGTAGTGTCGGTCCGTCTTTAATCTCTCGGTCTTGTGAACTTGCATGACGAGAAGAGGTTTCCACTGCTTAGAGCTTACGACACCAGAACGCAGTGGCAAAAAACAAAGCTCGCTCCATCTATCGAAAGTCCTTTTTCGGCTCTTATATTTGTAATTGTGATCTTTACCCACAAAAGTTGGAGCTTACGACACCAAAACACTCTTTTCTATTTGAGGTCTTCTTCTGCTTTTAAACTTTATTTTGTTTTCACCCGAAAAGGTCGGAGCTTATGACACCAAAACATAGGCATAGCAGCAAAACTGAAGCACAATCTTTCTGTAATAAAGGCGAAGTACTCCCTCTCTCCCACTCCATCTCCCTCCCTTCGCTAGCCGATATCGCCGTTTTGGCGAGCTTCTTGTTTTTTGAGATTATGTAACGTTGCAATGAGCTTTTTTCCCACCTTGTAACTATAGTTTTGGAGATGATATAGGGACCGCTTCCCGTGTTTCAAAAGCTTTTGTTACTTCTGGGACCAACACATTGTTTGTACCAATTCATGGATCTCCTCATGCTAGATAAACACAGCCTCGCCTTCTCTCGGCTGCTCCAGGATAATTCCTATCGCTTCTTGAGATGAAGAAGAAGAAGTAGGTGCACCCACGAGAAACATTGTCTGGGCATGAAACTGATGTTCTTGGAAGAACGAGTTCACATGAATATAGGACTTTCAAGCACTGACCGATGACCTAGGATTTGACTTAAATACACTAAGTAGAAAACTAAAACATTGTAGATCGAATTGTCGTTCCAACCCAGTTCCTTAGTTTAATAGTGCTGGTGCAACTCTATCCATGAAGAAAGTTGGTGCTTGGTTTATAAATTACATGGACCTACCGTGCATCAATCGTTAATTATGTGGGTCCCAACAATATGGGATTCACAAGATCATCGGTTGAGATGGACTTCACATTGGAACTCCGTGCTCTGAATATTCGGGTATATTGAGTATAGTCTCCTAAAGCACTTGCACCAAGTGGATTGATTGTATGACGTAGTCAATTAATGAAGTATTTTTGCATATCAAAGCTAAGACATAACATGAATATGAAAAGTAATAAACTAGCCAGCAAACTTGCATCGCGCTCAGGTTTATCTTCTGCTAATGTAGGCATTCCCTCTCCAATTTGTAGCACCAGATGTTTGCCACTGCCATACTCACAGCTTGAACAGCTGCAGTGCCGAAGTCCCATCGCTCCTCGCGCTGTAGTGGGAAATATACTCCATGATGGTGGTTTCTCTGTACTTCGGCTGATCGCCCTCCGAAACCAACTCCTTGATGGGTCCGTACAGTCTTGGAGATGGCGGCGTCGCCGTGTAAAAGAAGCACGCCACAGACACTCTCGGCCCCACGCCATTTACCACCACTCTATGCTCGGATCTCTTCAATATGTCGTTCGAGATAAGCTGAGAAAAATGCTCTGGTTCGTCATTACAAGTGAACACTCAACTGCTGGATAAAGATCTCAGGCGTAAAATGCTTTGGTTGTGATTAATTGATGTGCCTAACAAGGTCTCTAGTGATAAGATGTAGGGAGGAGAGTACGTTAGGTGATACTTGCCTGAAGCAGATCTCCGATGTTAACTACCAGCGCTCCAGGCACGGGGCTCACATCGATCCACTGATTCTGATGAAGAACTTGGAGACCTCCGACATGGTCTTGCAGGAGCACGGTAAAGAAGTCGCTGTCGGCGTGCTTGCTGGCTCCCAGAGTGAGCTCCGGTTGCGGGCATTTGGGGTAGTACTGGCTCAGAAGCACGAGTCCCTCAGCGCAGTCCATGTCCTTCAGATGGTTCGGCTTCAACCCAAGCGCCTCCGACAGTAGCTCGAACAAGGTGATTCCCAAACTCATCACTCGCTTCGAGAATTCCAGCATTATGTCACTAGGTTGTTCGAGAAAATTTAGTGGGTCAATTCGTCACAAATTCCTAATCCGTTAGAAGCAAGCACTTAACAAATTATCATAAGAGATTGCGGTTGAATATTCTGCAAAATCACTTACCGGCGTACCGACGGCAAGTCCTCTGCTTCGGGAGCATTAGGTGCCATAATACAGAATAGGGTGTCCCTCCAATTAGCCGCCTCTGTTCTATACAGATTAAAATTGCTGTGATACGCAACGCTTCTCGTGAAATCTCGTGAATAGAAACGTCTCTTCTCTCCAGCACCTTGCTCATGGAAACGGCGCACTCCATCCAGCATCTCCTCCAGAACAGCGGCGGGGATCCCATGATTCGCCACCTGAAAGAAGCCCCATGTTTCGGATGCGCTTCGAACTTCATTTACGACCTCCTTGCGCCGAGATGGATCTTTCGCAATATCTTCAAGGTCGATTATAGGAACGCGGAAGTGGCTGTCGTCGCCCTATGCCGGCGCACTCCGCAGGTTCTCCGGGCGATCTACATAGATACGAGGAACTTCTGTAATCCCCACATCGACAAGGCCCTTGACGCCCGCCTTTGATTCATCGAAAGCCTTTAGCTCGCACGTCCGATCGTACTTCTGTTTGTTTTCATTTGCTTCATCTCTGCTGAACACTTACATTTTTCTTCCTTAGCGAAAACACTCTCGAGTTCCAAGTCCTATCTTATATTAAACGTTGGAGAAATTGAAAGACAGAGGTCCTGTGGTATCCAATGACTGGTTCCAAGAGCAGGGAGAGGAAAGAAAGAACAATTATACGCGTTGCATCACCAAGAAAGCGATTGGAATTCAAGGACAAGGCCAAGAAGCAACAGGCAATTGTTGTATGGCAAGTTCGTCTGACTTTCAAGAATTGCGGTTGGCTTTTTCTACGTACTGCCGGTCAAACGCAGGTATCTTGGAAAAGCATTTGGGAAACGAATGGCTTAAAATGACAGAAGTGATGAAGTTAAGAAGCGATCAGAAAATTGCAAACAGGCTCGTCTTCTTTGACCGCGCGAGTTATGAGAAACCTTATCGGTTAGCGAACTCATCTTCTATACTGGAGCACTTCGAAAACTTGATGAGCATCGTCCATATCTATATCCGACCGGCCACAGCCAGTTCCGAAACCGATGTCTAAGCGCAATCCCTGTTTGCAAATTATTATCGAATTGAGTTCTGCAGATTGAATCAATTTACTTGTTCGAATAAAGTTCATGACAATATGGTACGTTGGTACAATGGTAGCATGAAAAGGAAAATTATTTCATAGACAATCAATACAATGCTACAGTGACATGGCTAATACACCACGAGCGAATCGAAATCCTAAAATTTGTAGCGACGACATTAATTGTTCAAGAAGGATTGTGCATCTCTTCCTTGGTAAAAAAATGTGAAGTTCACAGCTTGAAGTGCCTCAGAGGGGAAGTTCCATCAAGGCCGTGTTCCTTGAAGTAGGCAAGATAGTCCCTCACTGTGGTCTCTCTGTAGATCGGAGGATTGTCCTCGGACAACAGTTCCCTAATCGGCCCAAAAAGCTTCGACGACAGCTGGAAGCTCGTGCTGAAGAAGCACGCGACCGAGATTCTCGAGCTCACCGCGTTCGCCAGTACTCTGTGCATCATGCTTTTGAACGTTATGAGCTGAAAGGAAGAAATAAGAGGGACAGGCATCATCAGCATATGTCCCATTGTTGCGATGATCGCGAAGAGCAAGAAATCCCCAGGCAAAGAGTATCTCCCTAGATCCCCGAGACATCGCCTATGTTGTTCGCAAAAATTTCAGGTGTTCTGATAATTGACCCGGTACTTTGTATTCAGCGACATTAGATCGTGCACTACTAATACTTTGTCAGTGCCGGTGGCGGTAGCATTGTCGTTGATCCGAGGGGTTGCTTGCAAATTATTAAATGTTACGACTAATGTCGCTGGATATAAGGAACATGGTTGAATCGAATCAGACGGTAATAGAACTTGCCTGCAGGAGGTCGCCAACATTGACCACCAGGGCTCTAGGGACAGGAGGGGCGTCGACCCAGCGATCATCCCGGAGGACCTGGAGGCCTCCGATGTGGTCTTGCAGGAGCACCGTGAGGAAGTCTTTGTTGGAGTGCTTGCTTGTCCCCACCGTCAGCTCGGGCCGCAGGCACGCTGGGTAGTAGCGGCATATGACCGCGAGGCCCTCCGCGCATCCCATCTCCCGGAGGCGGTCCCGCGTCAGCCCGAGGGACTCGGACAGGAGCTCGAAGAGCAACGCGCCGCCCAAGCTCATCACTTGCTCGGAGTAGTCATGAAAGTCATTATTAGGTTCGATCCACTTATAAATTATTATTTATATCGAGATTTCTTTTTTCTGGTTAAATAAAATTAGTTTATATAAAATAAAAAATATATATATAAAACAAAAGTCAACTCGAAGATGAAAAGGTTACTTTGTCTCTGTGAAGAACATGTTTTGTAACGTCGCAGGTGAAAATGGCGTCGGTGACTCCGGGACCGGAGGAGGCACTTACCTGCAAACTTCCGGCGGCTCCTCCGGCGACGGCGGGCTTGGCGCCATGTAGCAGAAGAAAAGTGTCCCTCCAGCTCGCCACCGACGTCGTGTACAGGTCGAAGTTGCTGTTGCACACCACCTTCCTCGTGACGTCGCGCGTGTAGAACGCCTCCTTTGCCTCGCCGTCTTGCTCGTAGAACCGCCTCCCCCCCCTCCTTCTATCTCCTCCATCACTGCCGCCGGGACTCCGTTAAGAACCCCCGGCGTCTCCGATGCGCGTCGCATCCCCTCGATCTCCTCCTCCCTCTTGGCCGGGTCGCGGTCGATCCCGCCGAGGTCGATGATCGGGAGGCCGAGATTCTTGGAGCCGCCGCCCGATTCGGAGCTGTCTTCCGATGTCTCGTCCCATCGGATGAAGAGATTCTGGGGATTTCGGCGATGCCGGCGTCGACGAGGCCTTTGACGCCGGCTTTCGAGCCGTCGAACGCTTTTAGCTCGCTCGCTCTGTCATAACTCTGCTCGCCGGAGTCGGAGGCCAAATTGATGGTAGGCATTGTTCCTCTCTCTATTTCTCTCTACTGCAATTCAATTGCGCTGTGAATGCGAATTTGTTGGAGATGAGTTTGAATTATGAATTGAATGTTATGGATGATATGAGCAGCTTCTTTATAGCTGAGAGATAGAGAGAAGAGAACAGTGACATCACATTGGGACGATCCATTTGACTTTAGAACTATGAGGTCCATAAAAATGGAAGGAGATAGTCATTAGCTTATGAGCTACCACTTGCTTAGAAAATGACAATTGCTGTTTAAATAATGGCTGAGTCTTTGGGGGACAGGGCAGCTACTACACAAGTCTTGCGATTTATGGAAAAAAAAAAATCTGTTAGGACAGAGTTGACCATCGATAGATGACATTACAATTCAATGTCGTCTTAGCCCTTGGATCAATTGTTGCATCATCTTAATGTGATGCTGACTCGATTAGATCAATTAGGTTTCAGATATCGTCGCGTCTACTGGAAACCTACAGTTTCATAGAAAATCTAAGTGTAGATAGATTTTTGCCTTGCGGTTGATTATGCTTATTGTCGTTGAGCGAGTTGATGGCTGGCAAGAATTCCACTTTTTATCCTTGCCTTCAATATACAAAGCCGAAATTCGAAGCTGAACCAAACATAAATGTCCCTGAAAGCGCAATTTTTTTCTCGTGGTAGATTAGTGTTGTAACTGTCGTATGAGTATTGGGCACAGTTTCATCTAAAGACTATTTTTGTTTAGAGGATGATCTTTGTTTTTGAGAGTTGTGGAAGTTGGTGCTCATAGTTCTATCAGTTGAAGCTATATAAGCTTCAGTTGACCAAGCAGTGAAGAAAGGCAATCCTGTTCTGTGGTAGTAGATGAACACACACTTATCTTCAAATACAAACATCAATAAGACCACATAAAAAAGTTTACACAGTCTACAGCTGGAAATCAGGAAGTGCAGAAGTTCCATCTAGGCCTTTGGAAATGTAATGGGCAGTGTAGTTTGGAAGTGTAGTCTCCTTGTAGATTGGTGGCTTGTCTACTGATGTCAATTCCTTAATGGGTCCATACAGCCTTGAAGATGGCTGAGGAGTGTCACTGAAGAAGCATGCCACGGACACTCTCGGGCCTCTCTTGTTTGCCATGACTCGATGCTTGACACTTTTAAACTGGTCGTTTGTTATGAGCTGTGAATGTAACAATTAGTGGACCATTCTCGGTCTGTCAGTTCTCAGTTCAGAAATGAAGGAGCATAATTGGTTCTTATTGCTATGATTACACTCTTCATGTTGATAAATACAAAAACTGCAGAATATCTAGGACCCCACATTGACCGCTGCTGTGAAAAACATTGTTTTCAACATACATCTGTCTCATTTAGACAATTTTGAACCTGTGAATGTGAGGCTAGCATGATCTAACAAAGTTAGAATCAGGTTTGGATCAGTTAAATAGCTCTGTTAGGATACTTGATGCATAAGGCATTTGGGAATGGTAGACACGGATTCGTCTTACCAAAGAAAATCACAAATTGTGAAGACATGATGTTATTGCTACGGGGAAGATGCTGTGGTAATTTACTTCCTGAATTCTCAAGAGCTCTTCAACTAACTTAGCATACGAGGAAGTATAGTAATAAGGGCGAGAAGATGATCGCAGCGTGTCGACCAATCAAAATACGGTTTCAGAAAAGTTCAGAGATGAACAATGATATCTGGCCAAAGCTACTTACCTGCAAAAGATCTCCGATGTTGATCACTAGTGCTCCAGGTATTGGAGGAACGTCGATCCAGTGGTTTCTCATGATGCACTTGAAGTCCTCCAGTTTGATCTTGGAGGAGAATTGTGAGGAAGTCATTGTCTGAATGCTTTGTCACACCCAGGGTCAACTTGGGCTGTGGGCATGGCGGATAGTAGTGGCACATGATCGCGTGTCCCTTTCCACACTCCATCTCCTTCAAGTGATTTGGGTGGAGCCCTAGGGCTTCTGATAAGAGCTCAAACAGACAAGAGCCCAGTCTCATCACATGCTTTGAGTACTCCATCAGCATTTCTCTGCCACAGATATTGCGATGCATCAGAAAACTGAACTAGAGCTGCTGTAAAAGTATGATCGGACAGATTCCCAGAGAATACAACAAAGGGTATTGGTATTTTGTATCAACTCGGTTGCAAAAGTTTGGTACTGCCACTACTAGAACACACATAAAATCAACTGTCAAGGAACATCCTTTTTTCTGCCCAAAAAGAACAGATTGACCACCTCCGAGGTTCCAGTCAGTGAAAATGGTCAATCATTGAGGATCATCTTACTGAATCGTCTCATTGATCGAGACTAGATGCAAGATTACATGCTATAACATGTCTAGTGGAATTTAGGGGAGAAACTTTGTACCCATTCGGCAGTTGCAGTTGCCTTTGCTGACCGAATGAAGAACTGGGCACTTTCATTTCCTGAGTGTTCAACACCTATTCCGGCTGATTCAATGGAGAAAAACACGAACAACTCTAGTTTCATACACTTGCTAGTTTAGCCCTTGATTTGTTGAAGAAAATAAAAAAAGGCTCTCAAGTATCATACAGTGAAAAGCATTTACTTAGCACCTATATGAACTACTGCAACTCTTTTGCAAACTATCTTCATTGATTCACTTTGTGAACTTGTTCATGAATTTTCCCTTTTCTGAAAGGTGAAAAAGGCATGAGAAGCCACTGGCTCACCTGCAAGCTTCGGGCAACTCCTCGGGCTGGGGAGGCTCAGGTCCCATGAAGCAAAATATACTGTCCCTCCAATCAGCAGCGACTGAATTATAAAGTCCCATGCTGCTGTTGTATATGACCCTCTTCGCAAAATCTCTAGTTTAAAATCCTTTCTTGGCCTCCGTCTCCTGCTCGAAGAACCTGCGCGACCCATCGATCGCCTCCTCCAAAAGGCTCTCAGGGACCCCATGGTTGATCACCTGGAAGAAACCCATTTTTTTCAGTGCTTGCCCAATATTCCGCACCATCTTGTCGTGGCAGGCGGGGCCCGCATTCGCACATCCTAGGTCGATCACCGGGATCTCCACACGATCCTCGATGCAGGCCACGTTGTCGGGCAGCTGGATGAATATGCGGGGGACTTGGGCTGTCACGCCCGAACCCCTACGAGCTCGCGACATCCCCCTGCTCCGGTCGAAATGATGCGACGTCCCGGGAACGTCGCCGACCCAACCCAAACATCAGAGCCACATGCGGAAGCGAATAACAAAACCCGGACGAGAAAGATGACGACGACGAGGGTAGACCACCATAACAATCAAACAACATATTCATACAACACCGAATATACAAACATAAATACAGACGAACATCCTCCACCACCGTTTTAACAAAAGATCGAGTGCGGTTAACTTAACTTCCTATGGGTCAATCCGATTTACACCCCTAAAATACCCTAGGGAAAACCTAAGGATCGCCCTTCCATTCCGCTTCGATTCTTCGGGCTTGAGCCTCAGGACACTCACCCGCAATTCCACCGGCACCAAAGGCGGTTCCTCGAACTTCCAAAAGAGGAGGCAAACTTCCCGGTCCAAGGCCAGGGGGTCGAAAGTGACGGTTATACAACCGTGAGACGAATCTCAATAAGTGTACAACCCCAAACCCCACATAGGCACTCACGTACCGCACGCACGAAAACATGCATAACACACAACCCATCAACCAAACTAACAATACCAATTCACATCTCACGTACCCTTCACAAATACACGTTCTCGTCATACGAATACACCACACGACCATACACATTTAAAACGCAAATTCAATGCGCATTCACACAACCACACCGCCACACCTCACGGCCACATACACACGGCACACAGCCACGCCATATTCAGCCCAACACATAATCCCGACCCAGCCAACAAATCACAAACAACACAATTGATCAATTAAGCACAATCAAGCCATAACAATCCCACTCAATCACACAAATGAATCTGATCGATCCACAATATCACTGCCCTATCCAAATCTACTAAACCTCAATTTTTTCATTGCCAAATCAGTCAGTAACCAACAAATATCCAGCCTCTAAATCGTCTCCAAACAATCACAATAATTCCAATCAATTATACAAATTAACGCGATCGCTCCACACATTACAGCCATCATCGAGCCTACAAATCCTCACCAATTTCTTCTCCAAATCAGTTCCCAAATCAGCCCACGACAACCAAAGACCAGCCTTCATCTCAGCCCCCAAAACAGCCACATAAACCCCTAAACCGAACCCTAAACGGTGACCGAAATTCCATCAAAATAAATAGTAAACGAACTCCAAAAATTCTAAATTTGGATATATCATAAAACACATCTTGATCAACATTTCTTATGAAGAACATGAAATCCGGTTCAATCTACAACCATGCCTTTTTGTCCCTCGAAATCAGACCAAAATCAGTTCGCTCAAACAGACCGTTTTGTCCTCAAAATACATTTATTTCAACATCCAGATCACCTTGAAAAGCTTTGAAATTTTTATAAGTTATAGCCACAAATGTCCCCAACAACTTTTGTGAAGGAAGTATTTTGAAAATATGCCTGGAAAAATTTATAAAAATTCGAACAGACCCGAAGGTCGGGTGAACAGTAAATCGGGCAGTTTTATTTCGGTCAAAGATGGACTTCCGAATGGCATCAAATGATTTAAAAAAATTCCCAAATTAAAATATGTTATAGTTAAAGATGTTGGGAACAACTTTCATGAAGAAACCTTCCTCAAATTCGGGCCACAGAAGTCACAGTAAAAATAACAAAACCAGCGACGCAGCAGCAACCTAACTGGAAATCAGCCAACACACACCACCGAGCAAACCAGCCACTAAACTCACCTAAACCGAGCCCTAAACAAGCCTAACAATACCCGAGGTCCTAGGCGACATTTGGGGAGGTCACTTACCTAAGAAAGGCGAGACGAACGGGCTGGATTGGAGGCTGAAACGGGCGGAATAAGCAGAAGAGAACGCCGGCGTGATGGGAGGAAATGAAGATGAGAGAGAGAGAGAGAGAGAGAGAGAGAGAGAGAGAGAGAGAGAGAGAGAGAGAGAGAAGCTGATCGTGGGGGTTCTGGCCAGAATGGGGAGGAAGAGAGAGAGAGGAGGGTCAGCTGGTCAAAAATAGTGGCCTAGGGCGCCACATGTCGCGATCCTACGCGATTTGACCAAAATACCCCTAATCTAACGGTTCTAAAGAGATAGGATCAAATAATTGAGGGGTAATATCGTCTTTGGCCCCTAATAATGCAGCTAATAATTATCCATAATTATCTCAAATTATTTCCCAAAATTCGGAACTAAAACGGGCCCAGGGGCAAACCGTCATTTTTCCGGGTCCCAGGGCGAAATTCCAATTTTTGCACATACGTGTTCCATATGTGCGTGGCCAACATAATGTGGTGTTGGAATCGCGAAATTCATCTCGCAAGCCCTCGAAAATTGACTGCAAAGTTCGGGAATAAAATAATATTATTTTTCTAATTTTTGTCGAAATTCCAAATTTTGACCAAAATCACTCTAAATGTCCGTGGCCATCCCAAAATGGCATCGGCCTCGAAAAATAACCTCAAACGACCTCAGAATCGACATCGGGGTCCGGAGGGGCAAAATCGTAATTTTTCCGGTCGAACCGAAATCCATTTTTTGCATAAATGGGTGGCCCCAAGGTTGGCCAAGCCAAAACGTCATCGCCGCTCAAAATTGTCACTTTCAAAATTCTCGATTCTCGGCCCGAATTCTAAGAAATGACTAAAATTGAACAATCGCGACTTTAGCTTATCTCTTGCTAACGGGTGGCTCATTAGGATTACGCGCTCTCGACCCATGACCGACACTACGTCCCATCGAACGCTATCATTTCGCTTGCTCGGTCATGTTTGGGATCTGTACTGGTGTCCGTTGTGTGTTCCGTTACTTGGTGTTACCGTATTTGAGTGAGTTAGGTCTTGATGAAGTTCACTTTCGTGTTTATATAGTGGTGATATGGGAGTGATGATTTAGTGAAGAAGCTAAACACAAGGGACAAGAAGGTTGTAAAGAAATGAGTTTTCTTTTAAGTGAAAATCGACCCTAGAAGATATCAAACAAACTCTCGGAGTTGGCAACTAAAGGCATGAACGATAACATTTCTTCCCGGCCCTACTTTCTGGCACGTGATAGCCTAAGTAGCAGCGGCTATAGATAGCCGGCGAGCGCGTGGTGACAGCGACGGCGGACGGCCAATGCTGCACTGTGGTGATAGGCGACGGCGGATGGCCGGCGAAAGGCGGCGGCGGCGGATGTTCGGCCGGCGAAAGGAGGTGGCGACAGGGGACGGCGGATGGCCGGCAAGCAGCGGCGGAAGGCTAGCTAGCAGCCGCCGCCGGCGGACGGCAGGCGAAAGGCGATGGTGGCGGCGAGTGGGTGGCAGTGGGTGGTAAGGGTGAGCAATAAAAGAAAGTTGTTATTTCTATTTCTGTTACAGAAATAGAAAAGCAAAAAATTTTAACTTCTCATTTCTGTTCTAAATCTATTTCGAGGCCAAAATTTGTCCCAGAAATAAAAAAAAATGAAATTATTTTACCAAACAGATTTCTGTTCCAAACCTGTTTTCAGAAACAAAAAAAAAGAAAAATAGGAAAACAGAATAGTTATCATTCGCGCCCTAAGAATTCCTTGTTTCTCAACTAAGACAGTATTTGTCGCCAAATCCATGAAAGCACATGTTAACGGAATCTTCAATAAAATAGGAAGTGAAAACATTTTCCAATTAGGATTATTACATGGTTGGATAGAATAGACTTCGATAATTGCGTCACGTGTCCAAATCTTGTGCATTCTCATCTTTTATATGAAAAAACATGATTAATTTACCCGGGCCTACGTAAAGAGCTCATAAATGTTTACTTAACTATTTTAACATTATATTTAATAAAATGAAGAATGAGGAGAAATCAGAAGAGATAAATTAGTCATTTAAATACATTAATTAGAAACAATAAGTAATTAATTAATTTCCTGATAAGAGGAAATACAATATTATTTCATTCATTCCTGACTCAAGAGTTCTATTTTCACATTTATGCATAAACACGATTGATGGAAGCGATATCGGAAGAGCGCATAACTGTTTACTAAACTATTGTAACATTATATTTAATAAAATGATGCATGGTGAAAAATAAAAAGAGATTAATTGATTATTAAACACATGAATTAAAAATCGTAAGTAATTAATCCATTTCCTAACAATCCAAATTTATTTCATTCATTCCTTACTCAAGAGTTCTTTTTTCACTTGTATGTGGAAACGTGATTGATGCACGCGGAAGAGCTCATGAATTAATAACCAATTATATGGTGACTATGTAAAACTATAAACAAAGCAAAATATGGAAATCCTAAATTGCAAAGATCATGTAACATGTATCCTATTTTCCCCATATAAGTTACCCTTGAGAAAAAAAAAATTATGAGCCAACTAATCTAATTAGTATTGAAATTATGATACTCTAAACGGTAGCCCTATGTTAGATATTATGACATCAAAACATATACAAAATCTAATTCGTGTCCAACCGCAAGAAAAAAAAAATTAAAATAATCGTAATGTTGCAATACTATATATGTAGTTTACAAAAACGGAAATGGGTTGTCTTCATGTTTTTCTTGCTATTCAAGGATATGTGGAGTTGGCTCTCAGCTAGAGCAAAGGTCTTAGGCATTTTACAAATAGTCCAGGTTGCTAAATGATCTACAGAGTTTGTGGAAGCATCTCTTTTTTTCCCCTGCAACTACGTGTCCCCTGCATTTATGATTGCCGGGCTATATGAATGATCGAGTTCATATTTTTTTTACACAGGTTGCGTAATGCAATATGATTTTTATACTGAAATAGAAAATCTGCAGCAAGTCTTTAGTATGTGCTTCTTTATATGACTTTCAACAATGCTTTGCAGATAGCTCAAATAATAAAGACTTGCCTAGTACTTCATTAGACAAACATGAAGGAATGGATATGGACTTAGGTGAACGTAAAAACAGAAGGTTCATTTGTGACGAGGCTGAAAATATCACCCATAGAGCCGTACTGTTTGTGCCGTCCTATCCAAAGAGGTCATGTTAACATTTCACAAGCTTATCCTATGCAGCAGGTAAGATCAGAACCCCTAATATTATGCGCTGAAGGAAGGTGCTGTCTTGTTATTACTGAGCTCCACTCTTTCACTCCAAAAAGGAAGAAAGAAAATAATTGCTTAGTTAGATTCATCGATATCTTTCATATATCCTCATCAAGAGTCAGCTCTAAGCATCCAGCAACACCCCTGTAATGTGAAGTACTGCATACATTTGCTATGTCATACAATAATAGTATGGTAACGGTGAAGTAGAAAAAAATAATTTGGCATGATGTTGCTCATCCCTATAATTTTGCTTCTCAGGTATATGAGGATTTGCATACTATCTGAGACTGGGATATTGGTGGAGAAGTTTCATATACCCCAATCTGAAAGGAATATGTATTCTGCTATTCTTGTTGTGCCTGAGACATTTGATAATCGTGGTACTTATTTGCATTGCTTTTCCTTATGTCCATTTGTTTATACACGAAGAGTTTACTATTACTTTTTCCGCTTATGCATTTCATGAGATTCTATGTGTTGTAAGTGGATGCATGAACATGTCGTTGAGTAATGAGAGAATTGTAGTGTGGTTTCTTCCCATGCTTCTTCTTTATTTTCTCCTATGGTTCATTGGCTCATTTTACTTCGTTTATCATTAGGAATAGATTTCTTTTTTCTACTCAATAATTGAGAGGTAGTATACCATTGCTGTAGCTAAAGATTACTCCAAGAAAGGACTTTTAAGGTCTTCAGCTAATGTAATATTCTTTAGGTTGACAAGAGGAAACCTAAATTTACCGGGATTATGTTTTTTTGGGGAACTTTCTGCATCTCATTGAGCAATTGGTGGCCTTTTCTTAAGCTCTAAAGCATGGATCAGTAGTAAATATATTGGTACTTTTTGGTTCGGGAGTTTATTACACCAGGCGCAGTTTATGTGTGATCTGCAAAGAAATTTCCTTTTATGTTGGGATGCTTGATAGGGTCATTAACTTGTCTGTTTACTTGTGATAGGTTTAGAAGATCCTATAGTCAAAGTTAAAGAACTGCCAAAGAATGGATGAGAGGCTGAAATAGAACTTTGGATATAAGGTCAATCTGTATGTATGATCTTATATCAAAATCATGCTGTCAACTTCTTCCCACCTTATTTTGTAAGTACTCTTATGATTCTTCAGTTGGCAGTGCGTCAGAGTCATATTGCTATACCACATTTTCTGCTGGAAAGCATAAGATAGACTTATTGTAAAAAAGTTACTGAGGGTTGCCACCCCTGCGGAAAATGATTCTTAATAAATGACCTCTCTTAAAAAGTCAATGTGTTTGGATGTGACCACTGTGTTTTGCTTCTCCTTCTATGAACTTCTAACATTTCTCTCACTGTTGGAGGAATGGAATCCTTCAATCTCTTCTTCTCCTTGCTTTTGCTAACATGCATTCTTATCCATGCCCGGAGTTCATTTGAAACTTAAGAAATGATTGGAATCTTAAGGAGGACTTTAATTACCTAGGATCTTTACATGGTCCCGATCCTAAGCTAAGAAAAATCATAGGATCGATGCGATCCTACTGATCCCATTGGTCGACCTTTGACATACTTTCACCTTTAAATATGTATATCTGATGTTCAGGTAATAGAAATACTGATTTTTCTTGTACATGTAGTATATAAACTATAAATTCACACCATTTTGGAGTTTTAATGTCACACCATGTTCATAATTAACAAACTTCATAGGACTATCCAAGATTTCTATATTGTTGGTGTAATATTTTAGGATCTTACGACCCACCATCTGATGTTACAATCCGATCCCTTAGACACCTTCATCGATCATAAGTAGGATCCTGCTCCTCACAACCTTGTTCTTAACTGTAGAAAACTCAACCAAGAAAGCACCAACAGTTAATGAGTGTTCCTAGCAACCTTGTTCCTAACAACCCTAGGGCACACTTACAAAAGCACCAATTACCAGAATCAAAGCCGTTCAGCATGTTACTGATTGTCAAAATGCTTTTTAAAACAACCTTCTTTTTCTAGGGAAAGAAAGCCACTCTTTGAGGAACTTCCTTTACTAGATTGCCTCCAAGGAAATTAGCCTCCTCGCTCACATTTGTCTCAGAAAAGACAGATTAGTATACTGTTGGATTGAAAATACCTGCCAACAGACCGAATGATCCTTATCTTCGGTGTGATTCACACCCTCAATGTTGTAAAGAAAAATATAGAAAAATTACACCGTTCCAATTCCCAATCTTGGGTACTGCAAACCATATTTAAATATTCCATCAGGTTCTGTCATAACCAGTATACAAAAAAATCTCAAAATTGTACTGGCTTGCTACAAGCCTTAAAAGAATTAGGGAATAATTGTTTTATGAGTGATTTTACACTTAATGCACCATGCCAGAAGAAGATAGAGTAATTTGTAATTTAGAGATTATGATGGATTAGCTTTCCTTTTTTTATCAACTTCTACTCTACAAGTTCTCCTGCTCACTTCCATCATCCCCGTTATGCAAGAATTTGTGTCGTCTCAGGTAGTTAAGATTCGAGAATGTGTTTTAGCTTTAGTAGTTAAATAGTTCTGGGCTTGTCCCATCGAGCTGAAATTCTGTATGCTTAGTCATCTTGCTGATGGAAGAGGTATTTATCTAAATTCTTCGGTGGATTCTTCATCCTTAGTGATATGCTTTTCGAAAAATACTATTATAACATGATATAGTGATCGCAACATCAATAGTTGAAGGATGAGTTGCATCTGTACCTTCAGTGGGTGGTATCTTTTTACCTCTTGTGCTCTAAGTACATCTTTTTTTAGGTACAGCGAAAAGGTTTTTCCATGGCAATATCTTTGCAAACAGCTTCCCTTGCTTTCTTGTAAGTTGAGCTTGTTGCATTGAATGTATGTGTCCAGAATCCACTGAATGGGTAGTTGGTTGTTGTGCTGTTTTTCTCTGCCAGGGATCTAGCAGATTCCACATTGAATGTTCTGTTTTCTCTGGTTTCAAGCAAAAATTAAGGAAGTGCTTTCTATAGTGTTGCGGGACTTGCAATTTAGCTCTGCCGTGGTACACCAGGTTGGGAACCTTTCTGCCTTCTGATGACTTGCAGAAATTTACCTACATTTAAGTGTGAAACATGTTTTATGATAAAATAGTTGATAAAGATATTTAACTGTGAAAGATATTTTAGCATGCTTTCACTATTCCGATGACAGTCATTCCCTAGAATCACAAAATTGATATCGTATTTATGGCTATGCATGTTTTGTAACTTATGTAACACATTATCTTACAGCTTGTTTACTTTGCATGGCAATAACTTTAGCCAAATGGCATGCTTTTTTCTCTTCTGTATTCTCCACTCTCCAAATTGTGTTTTGTCTCATGATGTGATCACCGATCATGACAAATATTTAGGTGACTATAGTATTACCCACTGTATTCTCCATTAGTAGACTATAAATACTTCATTAACTATGTTCAACAGGAAAGTCTTGCTGCAGCTTTTGGGAACGGCTTGTCAACTGCCTGCATTGTGAATGTGGGAGCTCAGGTGACATCAGTCATATGCATTGAGGTACTAGTAAGTTTTTACATTTTGCCTCTATTGGAGTATAAGTCTTGCTTTTGGTGATGCAGAGCAGATGATGCAATGCTCGTCATTGCCTCCAAGCTTTTAAAGCAAATTCACTGGTCATGTCAACATAGATTGACCTTAGAGATAACACCTTTTCATAAACCAAAGGAAAAGAAAAAGGAGCTATGCTCGTTTGTCTTTATGAGTGACCCATGATGAGAGTAATTATTTCTGAAATCCATATTGACCCGTAATTATTATTAAAGAGCAGTGCAGTCTAAGCTTTCAACATCAATCTTGACTTGTTATCACCGTACCAGCAGCGAGATTGCTGCTGCAGCCTTCATGCTTATTCTTTCCTCTTTGCTATAAATTTCTTGTTCCACCATCTCCTCTCATTTTGTTAATGTTAGTGTCACCTCCAAATTAATGGGTGAAAACTGAATTAAAATGATGAAGAAATTCTGTTTATGTTTTGATTTTGCCTATCACCAATTATGCTACAAAGTTAACATTTGTAAATAGGCACTCTCCTTTTCTAGACCACTGTAATGCTGTGTTTCATATGTCTGATTAACATTCTTCTGGTAAACAAATAACCCTCAATTGGGCCAATATTGTATTAACAACAATGAAACATTAGACTTCTACACATCCTGCTCAGACCTTATATCTACTGACAACTTTAAATATTATGATGGATTATGTTCCACTGAGTTAATGAAGAAATTGTCTTTTGTAAATGTCAGGATGGAGTGGCTCTACCTACCTCCGAGAAGATATTACCATTTGATGGAGTGGTGCTGCTTACTACTTCTCATAGTGCTGAGCTTACTGCAGTATATCTGCATTAGCCTCACTACCATCATGTGCACAATGTTTAAAGTTGATTTGCCTAACCACCTTACATACTTGAAGGTTCCTCTTTTGATTTGCTGGTATTATGTGAGGTCTGGCTATCATTATTTGGCGTCACACTACAGATAGAGAGCTTTTGACCCATATACTGTTTTTTATCTTGAGATAACTTAATTCAGCATGCAACTTTTTATTATTTGTCCAGAATATCTACTTTATTGTTTAATTGGACTTGAAACTACTTCATGAACATCCAAGATTATGATATTGATGGGTAATAGGGTTTCAGGATATATCCAGATGCCTCCTATGGACCCAGAGGCATCATAAATTATGGCCTCAAGTTCGCAGTGACATGTTGAACAAGCGTACAGATATGTTGATGCTAAACGAACTGAAAGAATCCTAGTGATACATCCAAGTGAGTCTATGAATCCCTCTAATTTGGTAATTAAGATTTGGTGTTCGTCAAAATTCTTGTACTCGTGAGCACTGAAAAACGTCTGCCCATGCTCCACTTTTAATGGTAGAAACCCACGTGAGAATGGGGATTTATGTTTTAATATTAACGAACGCGAAAGCTAACCGGGATCTTGCAAATTAAGCCCAATACGAAATTACCAGAGAAATAAACGAGGAACGATAAAAGACAATCCAAGATTTATGTGGTTCGGTCCGCTATATCAGTACCTACGTCCACGAGAAGAGCCAGTAGCAAATAATCCACTATAATCGGAGAATCCAAGTTACAATCGCTCACTCACGTGCTCGAGTGTTTTCCAAACCTAGATTCTACCCAAAACCCAAGTGTTCTCTTTCGGACAAGTCATTTCATAGCATTCTTCGACAAACTAAGTTTCGTGCTTACAGGAGGTGGAGGTTGATGCTGTACCAATTGTTCACTCATACGAGGACGGGATGCCAGCTGCATCTCATAGGACGAGGCTTACTGCTCTCAAAGTATGTTTCCCAAAATGAATTCTCATCTCTATATTACTTTGCTTCTAGATGTTTAGCTTTCTAGAGATGCACCAATGGTTCTTTTTTATTTAGGTACCTCTATAGGTTTGTTTTATTTAACGCTTTTGGCTCCAGATGTATATCCTCGGCCACCTCGTTCGTGGTGAGCGAAATTGTTACTTCTAAGAACTTTTCAGATCAAGTTTAATCATGATAAAATGATTATTTTGCAAGGTATAATGATTGTGAGGATATGCTAAAAGAAACTTGGCATTTTGATTATCCCAGACGACCAGACATGGCAGATAGCCTCTATCCTGGGTTTAACATTAAATTGCTAATGTGGGACAACTATCTTATATTTCAAACAAAACCTAAGAAGGAAGAGAAGGTTGACCTTGCTGAAGCAATCACTAGTAGCATCCTTTCAACTGGCAGGTCCTTCGCAATTTCTTCAACTCCGCTTGCAGGGATTGTTAATGTATATGGATCATAGTTTTTTATATTACTTTAACAAGGCGTATCAATCTTGAGAGAAAATTATTCTGCAGCATACAACTGGTGAGTATCGTGCACACCCTGAGATGTTCTTTGAATTGCTATAAATTGACTGGGTATAATGACTCGGTTTGGTGATTTAGATTGGTGGAGTGGCTTTGACTGAGGATCTCATTCCTGGTGTAGAAGAAAGGTTAGTTTTGCTTATGCTTTAAACATTTGCAGAATTGTGGCTTTTTGAGCATTCTTGCATGGTGACAGAATTTCATGTTTGACTCTATATTAACCGGTGTTAAGAGCCTTGTCTATGCTGAAAGAAAATTGATGAATATATTACTTACAGAAACCTGCTTGAGTAATCCCTCCTTAAATTAAGATATTGGCATCTTTTCTGGGAAATGTTTGAAGAAGGAACGCATTAATATAGACGATGAGCTCTAAACATGTATGTTTCGGGCTTGTCATCATTTCATGATATTTGAAACCCTATGCAATTGTTATATGCTAATTGCTTTCATATAATTGATGGTTCATCCTGTATGAGCTCCCTTTTGGTTTTGAGAGCTATTTTATGTATGGCTTTAGTTTTTTGGGCTGTTTATGTAAATGGGTTTGCACCCGCTTGGTGCCCTATAGTTGAACTTTTTCTATTTATCAAGCAAAAATCGTCTATAGGACTAGCAATGACTATGATCAAAATTATTTTAGGACTAAAAGAAACTGAGAAAAAGCTCACTTCTAATTTATGTATGCTCCTTTGTTTTCTGGAATCTTCCATTTAAATAGAAGGAATTTTCTTTGGAGAATTTAAAGAAAAAACGAACCTCGGGTCAATAATGATGTGTCTGAGTGCCCAATTATGGATTCTGGCATTATTGTCCAGTATTTTGCTATCCTTTTTCCATAGGTGGTATGTTTCAATAGAAGTTCCGAAGCCTAAATTTGTGTCTCATTGCTCGTTGATTCTCTTCTTCTTACAGAGTATTTCATGCAATTCCTTCAGATGAAGCAATTGATACAATCGAGGTCAGTATGCTCTTTCCTTGCCATGTCGCTATCATATTTTCTTTGGTATATTTAGTTGTCGACTATACGTGGAGATTAGCTGGTCATGCAGCTTTAATTTCATTGTATTGGCAACCACATGATACATAGCATCATTTAGCACGATGTTCAAATGTTAAATGGGTCGATTTTGTGGATGTTTTCTATTAATGGCATAAAGGACAACATTCTATCTATGCTTCTAAGTTGTAGTTTGTCAAATTTCTTAAAAACAGGTCTTGTTCAAAGGTTAAGCCTTGGTTTTTTCTAGCGTCTCAATTCTATTGCATGACCTGAGTTGGCCACCATTCATCTCATGCTTTGAAGAGTTTGTCATAAAGGTTATTTAGATGTGTAGTATTCTTAAGCTGTGACTTTACGAACGGTACATGTTGGATAGAGAGTCCATTAGGACTGAAATTTGTGCACTTCTGGATTGAGCAAAATGAGTTGTAGTCTTTTGTTTAACACTGCATATGAACTATCTGTGCGTCTTTAACAAGTTTTGCAATCAAGAACATGCCCTACTTTTGTGTCATGGAAAGGTGGAGCGGTAAGATAAGCATTGTATCATCACGTTTTCTCACCTTTTTTTTTTCTGTAAGAAGATGAATTTTGTCTAAGACTCTGTATATTTGGTGAGTTGAATATGACTCGTTTCCTTTACTGCCTGATGGAGAAGTGAGAGCTATTTGTGTGAGAAACTCTGTTGGTTTCTTGATCAAAACATGCAAAACATACTCACCGCCATCTCCTTTTTCTTGGCGAATGAAATGATTGTGGCAGTAAAGGCAGACATTGCATTTTCAAAACGGATGTGTCTTTTTTAAAATGCCATCTCAAAGACACGGAAAAGCTTCTTCAGATGGTGACATGCCATGTTCTCATGTTGATGAAAACTCATCACAAAATGGTGATTCCATCCTCAAGTCAGATCTTGTCATGGTCTCTTAATTAGTGTATTTGAACACTAGCTAACTTAATTTTTTTTCATCAATATTAATGTCCATCATTCAAACTTGCAACTTCTTATTGACGAGCTTACTTGTTTCATGACCAAATATACATAGTCTAAATACACTAACTTCTTAAGTTAATGTGAGCATTTCGCTACTGGATGTTGGAAACTGCGGTTGAAGACATTGATTGCTGACCTTGATGGGTCTAAATACACTTATGTGTCTACCAGGCAGCACCGGATGTTGAAGGTTCAAATCATTTTCACTTGCACAGAGGTTGGTGGCTTCCCTTTCCACGTGATCCACGGGCAAGATCATAAGCCTGTTTTTGGGTCTATCCTCTTTTTCTCTTAAATTCCCTTTTTTGTAGATCCCATGTGTCTTTCTTTTGCACCGCCAAACATTTCCACATGCTTTATCTTCTCATTGGTCAATTTCCATTCCCACTGCGGAGATTGACTGAAAGGGGAGTCCGGACAACTTTGTGATTGCCCCGTGAACTTTGTGATTGCCATGCGCATTGTTAGGGAACTTCGTCATTAACTACGAATAATTCTCTTCAGCAACGCATCCGCATGAACACCGCCACGTTCACAATCACTTCTGTCTAGAAGTAGCTGAGAATCTAACTTATCTACTAACAATAAGTGAATTTAATTTCGTTCATCATATCCATATTCTCGCTCACCTTGTGCATGACTAAGGAATATAAACTTTCTTGTCCTCTCATTAACAAAATACGAACTATCAAATATTTTGATAATAGAATAATCAACAAAGTTACATGACCATAGATCCATATTGCAATTATATATCGCGCGAGACTTGGAAACCATCTCAGTAGCGCAAATCAGTGTCGCCTTCGAAGAATGAAACCTTACAAGATTCTTATAGTGTGTGTGGACACTGGGGCCACATCTGTTGTGGTTGATACGACCACAATTTTTGGGTCTTTCACACCCACCTAACATAGTATCGACCACAATTTCTGGGTCTTTCACACCCACCTAACATTTCCACATGCTTTTATCTTCTAATTTGTCAATCCCATTCCTCCAGTCGCAGCTCAAGAAGAATCAACAACTCCAAGGGTAGAAACGCTCAACGCGAAGCACACAAAAGGAGAGAAGGTTGTTGGTTGCAAGGATTCGAGTTCGATTCTTCCAATTGCTGATTTTATCGGTTCATTCAAAAGCCGCCATTGCTGTAATCTCATTTCTTATTTTCTGTTTTCCAGTTTTTTTCTTTTTCTTGCCAGAATCCTGTAATCTTACTTTTCTTAGCTTACTACGTGCTCACAAAATTAAATGCGTATATAAAAAGAAAAGATTATAGATTGAGATTGTCTCCAAAAAAAAAGGGTCAGTTATATTTCCATGAATGAAATGAGCGAAGGCAATTATTCTTTGAGAGGAGCAAATAGATGCTTGAATTGCTGATATTAATTGTTAATTGTTCCGGAAGGAAGCAAAGTGAGTCAATTCGGTAAATTGACTTAGGTTCCATTTGTTTCGCGGAAAATGAATGATTTGGAAAATACTTTCCTAAAAATAATCGCTTGTATCGCTTGAAATAATTAATCAATGAAGATTATTTTCATTACATACAACAATTTATGTCTAAATATTTTCGTATGTGACGAAAATATTTTTCGTTTATTTATTTTTGCAAGCGATGCAAGTGACTATTTTTTGAAAAATATTTTTTAAATTATTTATTTATCGCCAAATAAACGGAGCTTTAATATCTAAAAAATAATATGAAAGGGAGAATTTTTGGATGCATAGGAGGGAGATCCGTGAGTGTCGAATTACAGCTAGTGGGCTTTGGTTTGTTTTACCGACTTCCAGTTTTTTCGTTTTTTATTCCTTTCAACAAAATTCTTAAGTTGTTATATGATCATCTTAGTTTGACTTTTTCTCTCTCATTTTTCATCAAGTTTTTTTTCTTATCTATTTATTTATTTAGTTATTTTTAACTCATAAGTGTGAGTTCTAACATATAATAACATAATTCTACGCAAATCCAATCAATTTGTATTTGATGTTTACAATTTAGTTAACATTATTGCCATCACTTAGATTTTAATTTTCTTTGAATTCATATATGAAAATAACATAAATACCACTGGTGATCATACTGCTTATAGTGTGCGTGAGTTGAACAAAATCATCCCAAATATGCCAAATTTAATTTACATGAAAGTATGAATTCTTGTTATTGATATGAAATTATTGCTTGATGATAAATTATGGAGCCATGATGATGTGCGTTTAGGATTGACAAATTTTCGGCATATCAAGTGCACAAGATAGATCACACAAGCAAGGCTCAGGCTAGTGGAAATGTATTTAACAGCAGCAATGTACCTCGTAAAGATTCATTTCAACCCTCCGCTCAATGTATGTCCATTCCACACGTATTCGTCAATCTGACACCACACAAGTGTCCGGATTTCTAACGAAACAAGGCTACTTGCTTTGCTTTTGCTGCATCATTTTTTGACAAACTTTTTCGGTAGATTGATATGCGATCGTAGTCGATAAAAATCTATGTATCAGTACCTCATCATATAAAGTGCATCCGCTCAGAATCTTCTAATCATATTAGCACTAGAGATCAATTTATTGATTATCTCTCATAGTGTTCTGCTCATCAACTATACAATCACTTAAACGATTTTGAAAACTGCTTTTTTTGGAAACAGTTATGAGTACGCGACCAAACGCTTCTTTACATACTAATTTCACGAAAATGAAAACAAAGAAGGGGGCAATTTCTCTAACCAAACAGGGCAACGTCCTTTGCTTTTGCCTCGCAGTCAAGCCATGAGATAGACTAGCTTAGGGAAGCCTATCGATTTCGGGCATATCAAGCTCGGACTTCATCCATTGGGAATCTTCCAAAAGCTATCCACGACAAAGCATTGCCCACTTGTATTTCTACTCCATCCATGCCAGCCACAAATGGCGTTTTCATGGACAGCTGTGTGTTTGTACGTTGATGTGAGTGCCTTTCTCAAGTGGTCATCAAGCTATTAATTTGGAGTGCAATCCACGAAAATTGTTTGGTCAAAATCTGATATAACACTAGCTTTTGAAAGAATATTGTTAGGAGTGTTTTGACTGGTTAAGTATTCCTTTTTTACTGCGGCATGCTTTGTTCTTAAACAAATATTAGGAATTCTTGATATTGGCTGAGATGCTTGGATACATCGTATGGACTAGTTTCAGAACAGAATCCATGTCGGTGGAAGCAGCAGAAGTAACAAGGACTCTTACTATGTCCAAGCACAAGCAACACGTTAAATGAATTCTTGAAAGGTAAAAACAACTAAGGCTCATGGCTACTCTCAATTAAACTGGTCAGCCGATATGCTCTCGTTATGGCTTGCGCGATATTCTAATTTCGTAGGAGCATTTCGCTGCTGGATGTTGAAAACTGCACTTGTAGACAATAATTGCTGATCTTGATGGGTCTGAATACACTTATGCCGTTGGGCCTTGTATATATCCGTACATGAAGTTGTTCATGAGGCACCACCAAACTATTGTCTCTCAACAAAAGCATCAGCTCCGCAGCCTTCTCGACCCCTGCTTTTGCCTTTGGAAATGGCGGAGTCACTGCTCTACAGCATTGCCACTGGCATAATGGAAAGCATCGGCTCCCAAATTGCAAAACCTGGAGGCGCCTACGCTTCTCAAATGATCCAATTGTTCTGCTGTGGCGAGGGCGAGCTCCATAGTCTTAGGGAAACTGTCAAGACCATCCAACTTGGGCTTCCGGATGCCGAGAAGCAGCAATGGCAGGACAAACGGGTCGAGCACTGGGTCAAGAGGCTCAAGGATGTGCTGTACGACGCACAGGACTTGTTCGACGACATCTCGACCGAAGACCTGAGGCGACAAGCTATGGATGGCAACGAGATGATGAAAGAGGTATGCCTTTTCTTCTCCGAATCAAATCAGCTCGCGCACGGCTTCAACGTGGCTAATCAGATTCGGCAACTTAGGAAGAAACTGGATGAATTCGCATATAATAATAATTTCAACTTTACGCTGCTTCCGAGTGAGGAAAAAATGGTCACCGGAAGACGAAAGAAACCTGAATTTCTCGCACCTGACACTAAAATAATTGGTAGGGAAGAGGACAAAGAAAAGATCAAACAACTTTTGTTTACTTCCTCCTCTAGCACTAGCAACACTGTGCCCGTGGTTTCCATCGTCGGTAAAGGAGGTCTTGGAAAAACCGCACTTGCACGACTAGTATACAACGATGGGGAGGTAAACGGACATTTCGGGCTTAAGATGTGGGTTTGTGTATCTGATGTCTTTGATGTGGATCTGATTCTCAAAGAAATTCTTAAATCTGCAAAAAGTGACTGTCGAGGACATGATGATGAGATGAAAAAGTTATCAGAAGATGTTGAGAATAAGCCTGAAGACCAGTTGCCGAGTCTTCTTTGTGAGACTCTATCTGGGAAGAAATACTTGCTTGTTTTGGATGACTTGTGGAATGAAGTTCGGCATAAATGGTTCGAGCTTGGAGAATGGCTAGAGGGTGGTTTACCGGGAAGCAAGATACTTGTAACCACTCGTAGCCACAAAGTTGCAAAGGTCATGGATGAGAAATCAGTTATTCATGTTCTACGTGGCCTAGCTGAAAATGAGTCGTGGAACTTATTCAGGAAAATGGCTTTTGGAGATGGGGTAGACCCAGCACTGGAGGAGATAGGTCGAGATATAGTTAAAAAATGCACAGGGGTTCCCCTTGCCATTAGAACTATTGGAGGCCTTTTGTACGGCAAAAAGAAAGATGAATGGTTCCGTTACAAAGTGCACGAATTTCCAGAAATACCAGAAATTGATGAGGTTGATGATGGAATTATGCAAGTCCTCAATTTCAGTTACGATCGTCTCCAGTCATGCTTGAAACATTGTTTTGCATATTGCTCATTGTTTCCGAAAGACTATATCTATCGTAAACAGGAGATGATACAACTTTGGGTGGCACAAGGCTTTCTTGAGTCCCACAGCAGGGAGGATGACCTTGAAGAGGTTGCTAACAATTACTTGGAAGAACTATTAGGTAGGTCATTCCTCGATGTTATACGCATAAACAACATTGGTGAGGTCATAAATTTCAAGATGCATGATCTCATGCATGATCTTGCCCAAAAAGTTGGGGGAGGTGAATGCAAGACTGTTAATTTTAGAGGAGGAGATAATGATGAACGAATTCGACATGCGTTTATTTCAGAGATTTCCTCTGAAGAGAAAATGGTGTCCATGCTCAAAACATCCAAATTGCGGACGTTTATCTGTAATTCCTCTTCACTCAACTCTTCCAAAGTTTTGTCTGAGTGTAGACACTGTCGAGCATTAGTTTTGGCTCGTACAAATATTCCTCTCCCTCCCTCCTCTTTTAAAAAGTTGAAGCACTTAAGGTTTCTTAGGATTTCTGCAAACCAATCTATGCAGAGTTTGCCAGATTCAATCATGGATTTGGTGAACTTGCAGGTCCTTCAACTTTGTGAATGTATGAACCTTAAAACATTTCCAAGAGATTTGAGGAAATTGGTCAATCTTAGAAACCTCTCAATTGAACGTTGTAGGTCACTAAGCCACCTACCACCCTTGAGTGAACTCCCTTCCCTAAAGACGTTGAGTCTCCATTATTTGCCTGCGTTGGAGTTCCTTCAGCAGACAAGTGACCTGGAGCAATCTAATACTACACGCCCCTTCTTCCCATCTCTTGAGAGACTGTCCCTCATCGATTGCGGAAACATGAAAGGATGGTTGGGAAGAAGGCAACTAATAGGAGCAGATAAAAAGCATCGGCCAGACAATTCACGGTCATCATTCCAAAAACTTCGGTGCGTGACAATATGGGGCTGTCCCCACTTGAATGACGTGGCACCATTCCCCCAGGTGCAAGCGTTGCACATAGAAGGAACGAAACTGTTGGCCAATCCAAATTGCCCATCAGAAGCAGCAATGGGATCCACATTCATCCCTTTCTCTGAACTAAAGCATCTACATCTTAGTGGTAGTGATCTGGAGCCCTCGAAGCTCGAGACTCTATTCCAATTGGCTAGTAATCTCGAGTCCTTGCGCCTCGACTTTTGCCAACAAAGGAGTCTCTCTGGCATGCAGCACCTTTCCTCGCTCCAGAAACTCATCATTGTGGGAGTTGAAGGATTTCATTTATTGTGCGAAGAAGACGAGCACGGCATCCAATGGCGATTCCTTACGAAACTTCGTGTCCTTGAAATCTATGGTCCTCATACTTTGACGGTATTACCCGAAGAGATTCAACATGTCAAGACTCTACAATCTCTCGAGATTTCTCGCTGTCAGGATCTGCAGAGTTTGCCGGAATGGATTGGAAATTTCTCTTTGCTCGAAAAGCTTGTATTAATTGGATG